ATTTTCATTTTTCTTTATTCTGTTTTCTTTCTAGTCTTCAAACTGGATACTCTTAATAGACCTAGCTTTTAGTTCACTCATTCTTTTTTTTATTTATTTATTTTTATTTTTTTGAAGAGGTTTTTGCTATAGGGCGTGTGCGCTTTCCAGACAGACAAAGAGAGACAGAGAGATAGAAAGCGAGAAATCACCCCCCCCGGGGGGGGGTGGCAACGCCGCAATCCCTTCTCCTCCATTCTCCTCTACGGATCTTGGGGACGCACACACATGCGCCTGGCATGAATTTAAGCCACCGGGACTTGAACTGCGGTCAGCTATGTGGGAGCCCAGTGACATAGCCATTATGCTAACTGCTGGTCCCACTCATTCTTTTATTTAAAGAATTATTTTCTTTAACATTATTTATTCATTTATTTTTAATTTTGACCAGAGAGGGACAGAGTGAGAGTGAGAGAGAGAAAGAGAAAAGTGAGAAAGCAAGCCACCAGGTCTGGAACTCAAACCATGGTTGGCTAGGTGGGAGTCCAGTGCCCTTAATCACCCTGCTGCCTGCTGGTCCCAGTTCACTGATTCTTTATTCTCCCATTCATTTATGCAGAGGAACCCTCTCCAATAAATTATTTCAATTATTGTACTTTGCATCTTTAAAATTTCCAATTTGTTCTTTTTAATAAATTTAACTAACTGCCTTTTTTACCCTTCTGTGCTCGCACCATACTTTTCTGCTTTTTGATGTGTGTTATGATTTTATGTTGAAAATTTAGGCACCCATAAAGGTATACATAAGATATATAGATAAGTTACAAAATAAAATTATATTTTTAAAAAATTAAGGTAAATACGTAGGGCCCCTAGGATTGATTCCTGGTGGGTTTATGAGTAGAGGGTATAAAACTGACTGATGGACACAGACACTCTGCTCTCACCTTCATGATGTGATATCGTGAAACTCTGCAACACACCCACTCCCACCCTCATCCAGCTGGTCCCTGAACCTTCAAACTGTGAACTGAATAAACCTTTATCCTTTGGAAAAATAGGAAAAAAAAAAAAAAAACTGGACACTTTAAATATTATAAAAAATCTGGAAATCAGATTTCTCCCCTTGTTCAGGGTTTGTTGCTTTTGTTTCTGTTTTTGTTATTGCTGCTACTGCTTCTCATTGTTTAGTTGCCTGCCTGAATTAATTCAAAATAAGTCTGCATTCTTTTTTTTTTTTTTTTTTTTTTTTTTTTTTTTGTGGGCACTGAAGTCTGTTAACTTTAGTTCACTAGTGATTTACTAAGATGCCCAGAATCAGTCATTTTCGCCACCTTTGTTGAGTGGCTCTGTGTGAGAGTGTGTGTTAGGAAATGTCAACTCTCCAGCAGTTTTCAGCTCTTCCTTAACCTTTTCTTGCTTGCTTATATAGGACTTACAGATCAGCCAGAATAGAGGAATTATGGTTTTCTCAAGTCTTTACTGTCCATGTGCACTGTCCTACACATTCATATGTCTTTCTACAATCTCAGGAGTATAAGAGAACATTTTAAAGCATCTGTGAACAAATCATGTCCTAATTTTTCAAGTTTTTTGGTTAACCTCTTGTTAACCCCCAGTGGTTTCACTGCCTCAGGCAGCCGCAGTGTTAAATAATTCCTGTTGATTGCTTTCAGCAGACACCTTAGGGATAAAGGTATTTCCACAGTATAAGCCCTGAGGCATGTCAAAAAATTACAAATCCTGAGCATATTGCTTTTATATTTAGCTGCCAAACAGGTCAAATAATGACGTTCTCTGAAAGTGGAGTTTTGAGATAATTCCAAACCACTTTTTCTTTCTTCATTAGCTGTTAAGCTGGTATTTTTGATAGCTTCCATGATTGCAAGGCTGTTGATTTTTAAGCCTACCATGAGGCTAGGGAGAAGGTAATGGGAATAGGTCAAGTTAAAGTGACACAAAGGGACTATTCCTTAGTACAGAAGCTAAAAGCTGTGCAAAGGGGGTGGGATCCCACATAGTCAACTGTGGTTTGAATCCCAGCCCCTGTGGTAACATGTCTGGTGCATGTGCACAGATGTCCAGGATACTGACAGGATAGAGAAATAGAAGGAAAAAAGGGTTGTGGCATGACCAAGCCTCATTGGGAGGTGCATGCATGTGTGCTTGCTCTCGCTCGTTCTCTCTCTGCCATATGCATGTGCCCCGTGGTATTAAAAACAAAATCTACAAAGCTCACTATTTATAAGAAGTTTAGTCATTTTTCTTCAGATGAGTACTCCTCAGATCACCACAATCCATTGGTTAATTTCCAGAGTTCTGGAAAGGTTGATCTGACAGTTTTTTGACAGTTCTTGTTGCTTTTATGGAAGAGTAGATTTTCTGATCTTACTCAACTCTTCTAGAAGTGCTCCCCATTCCCACTTTTTTAATGAGTTATTCACATGACCCCCTCCATTTTCATTCACATAAAAGTCCTTCTGAATGACTTCTTTTGGAAAGAATAATATGCTACCTCTTGTTTGTTGTGTTCTTAGTACTGTGTAAGAATTATTTAAACACTCTGGTGAATAATCTTTAGTCATTATTACATGTTACAAATTTTCTACCAGTTTGTGGTAGAAAACCGTCTTTTATTATGTCTTTTTTTTTTAAGAGATTATTGTTATAGAGCATGTGCGCTCACTGGAGAGAGAAGCAGAGACTGTGAGATGGAAAGTGAGAAATCATCTAGGGGAGGGGATGGCCATGCCGCAGTCCCTTCTTGATTCTAATTTGGGATCGTGGGCACACAGGCGCATGTGCCCAGCATGATTTTTAAGCCACCACCAGGTCTGGGACTCCAACCACAGTCGGCTATGTGGGCATCCTGTGATGTAACCACTACACTATCTACTGCCCCCCTTTATGATGTCTTTTAATGATGTTCTCACTTTTAAAAGATTTTGAATATATCTATATTTTCTTTTATGGTTTTTGGTGTCTGGTTTTTGAAGTTTCTTTTTAAACTTAAGGTTATTCCTTTTTTTTTCTAGTAAGTGGATACTGTTGCATTCTTACTTTCCTATAATCAACTTGTGTGTGACATAATTACCAGTTCAGTTTCATGTTTTTCCACATGGCTATTCCATTATACCAGCCCCACTTGTTGAAATGTCAACTCTTACTTTACTGATTTCCTGAGCCAGTCTGTCATAAGTCAATTTTGCATAGGCAGAGCTCTGTTTCTGAACTCTGTTTTGTTCTGTGGGTTAGTTTCTCTTAACCCAAGTCCTCTTAACTCAAATATCCTATTCTTTCAGAGTATTTTGATTATTCTGAGCCTTTGCTCTTTTTCTGAATTTATAACTCAAATGAGAGAGAACATCCTTAAATATTGATTCTTTCAAATTATAAATACAATAATGTCTTCTTCACTGTCAGAACAATTTTATACCTTCTTCTATATACGTCTTACATATTTTGAATTATATTTATTTCTAGACTCTTTTTTTAAGCTATTGAGAATGGTATTCTTTAATATTCTTTCCTAATTATTACAGTTGTATAGGACTTCTTTTGTCCTTCAGTATATTTTGTATTTTTTTTTTTTTCGCTATAGGACGTGTGTGCTTGCCAGACAGAAAGAGAGAGACATAGAGACAGAAAGCAAGAAATCACCCCCCAGGGGGGATGGTCACGCCGCAATCCCTTCTCCTCCATTCTCCTCTTGGGATTTTGGGCATGCACGCACATGCGCCCGGCGTGAGATTTAAGCCACCGGGTCCGGGATGCAAACCACAGTCAACTACGTGGGAATCCAGTGACATAGCCATTACACTAACTGCTGGTTCCCATATATTTTGTATTTTGATTTTATATCTCGCAAATTTTACTAACCTCACCTGTTAATTCACTTATTCATTCTAATAATTTTATCTATAAGTTTTTTTCTGTTATCCATATAGACAATAATATTTGTTAACAGTTTTGTTTTCTGGCCTATCCTCATAGCTTTGGTTGTCTTGACTTACTGTACTAGCAAGGACTGTCAGCTGAAAAGAAGTAATAGAGAACGTCTTTTTTTTTTAAGAATATATTTTTTAATATTTTTATTTTGTTTTCTCTTATACATTCAATCATGTTATTTAGCTTACAGAGTGAATATTTCAACATGTGAACATTTCTCCCTTGTCCAGTTAATAAAACTATAAAATTATCTTCAACAGCTAATACCACATTTCTTTGTCCTATTAATGCTTTCCCTCTCTATTTTTCTTCTAAATATCCTTCCTCACACTTTACTCTTTCACGCACACTATATCTGGTATTCACATCCATTTACTGTGTTCTAAATCCTTTAGTCAGTTTCAGTCACAGAGTGCAGACACTTGGTATATAAAGAATATTTATTTAATTTTATTTATTCAATTTTTCTTTTTTTTTTTTAGATAGAGATTTTTGCTTTAGGACATGTGCTCTCGCTAGAGACACAAAAAGAGATAGCAAGAAATAATCCCCACCCTCCAGTGGGGATGGTCACATCACAATCTCTTGTCCTCTTGGGATTTTGGACACCCACACAAATGCACCTTGCATGAGTTTCAAGCTTTTGGATCTGGGACTTGAACTGTGGTCAGCCAAGTGCAAGTCCAGCAATGTAACCATTATGCCACCTGCTGGTCCCAATGATTATTCAGTTTGACCAGAGAGACACAGAGACAGAGAGGGGGGAGTGAGAAAGCAAACCATTAGATGTGGTACTCAACTGTAGTCAGCAATGTAGAAGCCCAGTGCCTTAACCACCACACCACCAGCTGTTCAAGAACTCTTTGTTTTACCCCTGACCTAAAGGAAATAATTTCACCAGCAAGTATGCTTAAAATAGGTTTTAGGTAGCAAGCCTTTATCAGAAGTTTCCTTCTAGTCCTAGTTTTATAAGAATTTATATATTTTTTAAATCATGATGGATATTGGATTTATCATGCTATAGAAAGAAAGTCCTATTCAGTTTAATTATTTTATTTCTCTCTTTTTTATAGCAAAGAAGTTTGTCATCCTGATATTGGCGGCAAGATCATAATGTGTCCTCAGTGTGATAGGCTTTGTCCATTCTGGAAACTCAATATTACTTGCGAGTCCTCAAAGGTAATTCTTGTTACTCTGAATATTTACATGTAATGACAGATTTTTTTCCTTCTAATAACAATTTTAATATAAAACAGAAATTATATATTTTTTTCCTCTAAGGAATTCAGAAAGCTATTTTTCTAATTAAACTTCCAACTTTCATCTGGAAGGTCATGTGTATACTCCAAGTGTTTCTCTTTTACAAATAATAAATTGGTATTAAAATCCTTGTCTAAACTCTCATGGAAGGTCAGGGAGGAAATGGTAGAATCAAAACTATTTGAGTACTTCAAGTAATCAAAGCAGGAATTTCAAACCCACCTTATCTCATAAATACTACTTAATGTGTTCACTACTCTTAAGTATTTGACTTAGTTCAACTGAGTGGAAACCTGAAATTAGATCTTAAGTTTTTCTACTTAAAAAATGTGCTGAAACTATAAAAGGCTTCAGAAAGTGAAAGATGGAATTAAAGCTTGAGTTTATTTTGGTGTAAAAAATTCATACATACTTTTTTCATAGTATGTTTTTTTCAGAAGCTTTCTAGACCTTGCTGGTCAGACATACATATGTTATAGAAGATACTCACTTTGTCTCATAATGTTCTCACAAAAATATCCAGGTCTCTCTATACATACAGATAGTCTAGACTGCTGTGACTTTTAAAAATTTAGGAGGTGGGGCTAACTCAGGGCCTGGTGGTTAAGGTGGCTGGATCCCACATAACTGATTACATGGGTCAAGTCCCAGACCCAGGCTTCATAAACATGCCCTACACATGTGTGCTCAAAATCCTGAGATGAAAGCAGAGAAGGGATTGCAACATGGCCATACCCTCTGGGGGGGGTGCTTTTTCACTTTCTCTTTCTCTCCAGCAAGTGCACATGCCCTATAGCAAACACTTTTTAACTTCATATTTAGTCACATATCTCTTTACAGTGTATGTTTCTTTTTCCAGCATGAATACCATGCATATCAGTCAAGACAGATATTATTATATACATTATCATCAGTAAATAGCTTCTCATTCTTTTGTCAATTAAACATACTTTTACCTTTTTTTCTTCCCTTTTCTCCTCCCTCTCATACTAAACTTTTTTCACCTTTTATTGATTCACAAATGATCTTAATTAAACTAAGAATATGGATAAAGCTAAAATCTAGTGACATGGGTGCTGTAATTTTCTTCTGAAACATTTTTTTTCTCCCTCCATTCCCTCTTTTACTAAAGTGAGGTATAAACTAATTTATTTGCAAAAACAAGTGAGTTTAGTCTCAATTTGATCTGTTATTTGCACAAAGCCCCATAAGAATTTAATTTCTGATGCAAGGCAACAGATACTGTTGTATTATTGGACTTACGCAAATAACTATTCTCCCACAAAATAAGAAAGCTCACAAATATTTTCCAGTTGCAGAGAGGTCAGGAAGGGAGAAAAGTTTATGTTTCAATTAAAAAAACTAGCCTCACTGAACAAATTGCCGAACGTATTAAGAACTCAAAGAAAACAGAAATCCTTAAATCTGAAAGACAAAGCATAGAAGAAAATCAATAATATTTTAGTCAAAAGTCCTAGAATTCTATTTCATCCATTTACTCTCATGCAATTAATCTCTCTTTTGTTGAACTTACAGTGTTACTGTGGTCTGACCTTTCCGTTTAAATCCTGGATGTTAACATTCAACATTATTATTACTATTTTAGGTATTGTCCCTACCATTAAATTGGCCATCTTCTTGGTCGTTTTAGGTTCTCTTATTTCTGTCTGTCTGTCTTTAGTTTTCCTGATATAGCACTCCCTTCAGAACTTCCTGAAGACCTGGCCTGATGTTGGTTAATTCTTTCAGGTTTTGCTTATCTGAGAATGTTTCAGGCTTTTCTTCCCGTATGAAGGATAATCTTGCTGGTTGAAATTGTTTTTCACTTAACACTTTGAATATATTTTCCCATTCTTTCCTTGCTTCCATTGTTTCCAACAAGAGGTTCAATGTTAGCCTGATGAAATATATTCAAGAGGTATAGGACAAGCACTGAGACTGAAGGGAGCTTACTGTACTCAGGCTTAAATCTCTAGACAGGAAGAACGATGTCAGCTTACTTCAGAGTGTCTTCTGACAACTCTGACATATATTTTCCCCTTGTCATGATGTTTTCTACCTCCTTGTCCTGCTACAAGAGTTTAGGAATCATTATATGGTCCCAGAACATACTACTCAATTTAAGTCTGATTTTAACTACATTTATTGCTGTTACAGTGATGCCAATTTAGATTTACAAAGATTGAATACAAATATCACTTTGACACACTCAGCACCCCTCTGAGACAGGCAGAACGAGCAGTGTGTCCACTATACAGGTTAAAACACTAAAGATCTGAGAGGTTAAATAATCTGCTTCAAGGTTACCCACCAAGTAATTAGCAAATCTAGATATTGACAACATTTCAACCTCTCTTATTATTTCCATGTTCCTCACCTGCTAACAGTGACATCAGGCACTTCGTTCTTAAATCCAGCTTGATATTTGAAAATTTGTTCCACCACTTAGTTAAGCTGATTGATTGCATGGTGTGGTCAGCACATGGATTTTTATACCAAATTTATCAATTTAAATTGATTTCATTGCCCCCTCCTCAAACACAAATTCTATACTATAAATATCTGTTACAGGTTACACAAAGTAAAAGACTTGAAGCTAGTAAGAGGGAAGCAGAAGCTGGCTTCTTGGAATCTTGATTCCTAAAGTAAGGATCACTGGTTAGCTTGCATCTCAAGGCCCTGAGTTAAGTAGGTGCCAATGATGATACCAGAGGCAAACTGTACCCTAAAAGTACATTTTTCCCTCACACTTGGCAACTCTTCTCTTCTCTTGTTCCACCTACGCATCTTAAGTACATGACTCTCCAGTTCGTCCCTGTGTGTGTTTCTTTTATTCTGTTCCAATTTCCTGAAGGATCTGTCCCTTGAGTCTTGCCAGAGTAGTTTCCAAAGGGAAAGAAACATAAAGAAATATGAATAAAAGGACAAAATAGAAAAAGGTTCAAAGAGGAGAATAAGAGAACTTTTTCTGTTTGTTAATTCAATTATCTCTTCTTTATTCATACATTTACATATATATATATATATTTATTTCTATTGCTTTTTTTTTTTTTTTTGGAGAGGTTTTTGCTATAGGGCATGTGCGCTCACTAGACAGACAGAGACAGAGAGACAGAAAGTGAGAAATCACCCTCCAGGGGGAATGGCCACGCTACAATCCCTTCCCCTTCATTCTCTTGGGATCTTGGGCATGCATGCAGACATGCCCGGCGTGAGTTTAAGCCACCGGGTTCGGGACTCAAACCGCAGTCAACTACATGGGAGTCCAGCCACACATTAATGGCTGGTCCCCCTCTATTGCTTTCTTTTGGAAAGAAATATTCATTAATTAATGCATATGCTTAAAAGGATTAACAAATTAGAAATAGAAATACAAATTTCAAATTAGAAATACAAATACAAATACAAATACAAAATCCGGAACTAGGAACATAGTATTGCAAATACTTGATTGATAGCATTTTTGTGATTGAGCATTGAATAAAGTCTATAGCTTTCTAGCCTTTTCAAGATAAAAAGAAATATGGTAAGTTTTAGTATTTTGTCCTTATATTATTATAAAAATTTTTATTTTGCAAGAAGAAAACATAATTAATGGTGGTTTTTCATGATTCTGTTTAGTTCCTTGGCTTAAAACTGTCATGACTCCATATACAACTCTTTTGTGCTCCATGTGACCACAGCACTATGCTGACTTAGGGCACAGCTGTCTTACTCTCCATGTATCATACCAGGCAAGCTAGGCTAGGCCTCCTACCAAGAAAGCCCATGTTTCTCCTCTACTTCCTACTTCCATGTAGCTCAGAGCAGAACACAGAGTGGAAAAGCTAACCATCTTAGCCTTTCTTTCTCTCTGGTCTTTGATTCTCACACGTGTGGCAAGAATAGTAACATCATCCAGGTTTAATGCCCCATAAGAATACGAGACATGTCCCTCCGCCACTGAGCTGATCGTGGCACTGGCAGTAAACCTTTCTTGCTGTTCCTGTTTCTTTTCTCTGGCACTAACAGGTGTGTTTCCATTGATGTTCTTCAAAGAGTAGAGCTAGGAATTCACAGGCAGGGTTGTTTTCTTTCTGGAGTAGGTAGGCAGAAGTGTCAGGGCAAGTAGTTCAGTATCAAATAGAGAAGGACTTGCACTAAGTCCTGAAACAGGAGTGACAGTGTGCAAGCCCTACAAAGCATTATAACACAAAGAATCGTTTTCCCTAGGATTTTTCTTATAATAATTTGAAATAAAGGATAAGGCATAACATTGGACAACATTAGACAACAACATGGAAAAGATGGTTCCATAAGAGTCAAAACTAGAAGATTTTAAATACGTGGTCTATGGAATCCCAGGACTAGAGCAGTAAGTGAGGAGCATTGTTCCCTATCACAGTACTGCATTTATTCTGTTTTTTTTCTTGAGCTAGATTTTTTAGAGGAATAATTAGATGACAGGCAATTTAGGATTGTGCCTTCTGATCAAGTTCTATGTGAATGATTAGGGGGACATCTATATACTTTGAAACCAGATGGATAAGGTGGTGGTGAGATAGATATAACTTAATTAAAATAATATAATTAGTGTTTTTACATAAGTGGCCTGGGTGTGGACCACAGTGCAGCAGTAAAATACAACATGCTGAGAGGCTGACCCTCACGGAAAGGTTGCAGGCTCATATCCAGAGACCTCCCTGAGTTCCCTGGACACCCGTGCCCATTATTTTGACTACTGGGGCTGAGGGTGGATTTTGCCATCAAGACCCTGTCAGGGGTGCTCTGTGTCTTTCTCTCATGAAATAAATACACTTTTAAAAAATACTTTTACATAAATAAAAGTTTATCCACTTTACATGGATTAAAAAAAAAACTAAAAAATCAAACAAATGAACCAAAAAGAGCTAAAATGAAATAGATATCTTACTTAGAAGCAGCTTTTGATATTTTTTCAGCATTTGAAGTTTGCTTTATTCACCTATAATTTCTTTTTCTACACAATCCCCATCTTTGCTTTTCATATGTTCTGTTATAAGATAGATATATGCATCTATTTTTCTATTATCTATGTAGTTGGTTTTAGATGTAAAAATGCTCACTAAAGAGAACTTAGTAACTAATTGAAAGACTTACCAGGAAGTCATAGAGGGAGACAGGCTATTTATATGCTATCAAAGAGATGAAACTTAGCCCAACTAGTGAACCGAGCATTCTTTGGCCAGATACCTGATTTATCATTCATGTTCATCATACTCACTGTAATGTTAGCAAAAGCACCTGTGCATCCTTTATTGCACTGAACGCATCTGTCACTGAAAATACTTTTACATAAATAAAAGTTTATCCACTTTACATGGATTAAAAAAAAAAACTAAAAAATCAAACAAATGAACCAAAAAGAGCTAAAATGAAATAGATATCTTACTTAGAAGCAGCTTTTGATATTTTTTCAGCATTTGAAGTTTGCTTTATTCACCTATAATTTCTTTTTCTACACAATCCCCATCTTTGCTTTTCATATGTTCTGTTATAAGATAGATATATGCATCTATTTTTCTATTATCTATGTAGTTGGTTTTAGATGTAAAAATGCTCACTAAAGAGAACTTAGTAACTAATTGAAAGACTTACCAGGAAGTCATAGAGGGAGACAGGCTATTTATATGCTATCAAAGAGATGAAACTTAGCCCAACTAGTGAACCGAGCATTCTTTGGCCAGATACCTGATTTATCATTCATGTTCATCATACTCACTGTAATGTTAGCAAAAGCACCTGTGCATCCTTTATTGCACTGAACGCATCTGTCACTGACGGTAGAAAAGCCATCTCTGGGTTTGAGGAAATAGCTCTCCTGATGGGGGGCATCTCCAAATAAACCTGTTTTGTACGTCTCTTACTATGAAAGGCATGAATTCTGGACCTTAGCCTCTGGCCAGGGTACAATGATAAGATGCTTATTATAAATCAAGAAGTTTCTTAGAGGTCACTGTATTCCTACACCCATACTACTTCCTTAAATTCACTCTGACAGCTTATAAAAGGAGGTCATTATTCGAATCCTGATAAAGGCTTTAAACTGAATAGAATCAGCACGGGTACACCTATTTTTTCATTGCAACATGGAAAGATTCCCTTGGAAAATGTACTCTGGCAAATATTGCAAAGGCTGTTTGTTTTAAAAAGAATGAGAAATTCCATCTATGAGTTTGCAGTAGATATCGTGATTGTTAAGCTAGGAATCAAATTTTAAAAGAACCACAGACTCTAAGTTCATTTGTATGTCATTGTTGTATTTTCCAGAAATTGTGCATCTTTGACAGTTTTGGAACCCTGATTTTTGCAGTATTTATGGGAATCTGGGGTAAGTTATTTTCACTTTTTTTCATGCACTTAATTTTAATAGTATTACACAGATCTAAGGACATCAAAGTAGCCAACTTTGAGGACCTTGGATTGCCCAGGCTTCATGTCCTCCAGAATTCCATTTGTAACACTGAGGCCATTGTGTCTGTACCGTGCAAAAATCTTTCTCAAAATGTGGTAACTTCAAAGAAAAACCATGTTTCTCATATTTACTGCTTGTCCTAATTCTCTGATCAGCTGAGAGATCTACAGGCATGGGCTGGCTCAGCTGATCTCTGTATTGTGATGGCCACTGTACTGGGGTAAATGGTCTGGCACTTGGAGGGTTAGTCTGACCTATAGGGCTCAGCTAGGAAGGCTTTTCTCTGTTCCACATAGTCTCTCTTTCTCCACTAGGCTAGCCCAGATTTCTTCACATGGTTCTAGGGCTCCAGAAGGAACCAAGAAAGGACAAGGCCCAGTGCATAGGCATTTTTTCAGCCTATGGCTGCATCAAGTTTTCCAGTGTCCTGTTAGCCAAAGCAAGTGATTTGACCATGTCAGTATCAACAGAGGGAGGTGAGAGGACTCACTGTTACTCCAACAGTCCTCACAGCTGCGATCCATCTCATCTTCAATGAAAATGGGGTGGAGAGGATGCAGTAGCATAGGGATTATGGATGAGTTTTCTCTTTACACATGTTAGAGTGAATATTTAATAAGGATGTGCTACTCTTTTAATAACAAACTCTTTAATACATAGAATAGGTATAATCCTAAAAACTGTAATTCCCATATAGGAACTTTAACACTATATTATTTACTTTGTATAGTATCCTTAATGTAATGAGGCAATTATTTTCTTTAAATGAAGGCTATTAAATGTTTAATTGATGTAAATGTTCTCACATCGAATTTTAAAATTCTATTTTCAAAGATAAATACATTTCCAATGTTATTGTGTAAGTCAAAGGAACAAGAGAAAGCCAGATGGTGAGGCCATGGTAAAATGTGATGCTCTGCAAGGCTGACCCATGAGGGAGGGTTTTAAGTTTACATGCCAGAAACCTCCCTGCATACACTGGGCACACACATGCTTGTGATGCAGGGCCAGCTGGGGCCGGAGCTCAGCAGCAGCATCAGGGATGTGTTGAGGATTCTCTCTCTCTCTCTTTCTCTCTTTCTCTCTCTTTTGCTTGGTCATAGAAGAAATGGATAAGTAAACTTGGGGTGGGGAGAACAGTAGAGTACAGGTTGTAGGAATGTGGGGGAAAAAAATCCTAGTCTGTTATTCCTGAGAGGGCAACACATCAACACAGGCAACTCACAGAAAGTCCCTTACAGGTGCTCCCAGCAGTATTTCTCTCTTGTAGTGCTTGTGCCAATGAAGGATCTCCAAGTGGATCACAGAACAGACAATCCAATTATTTTGTATACTTTTTAAAGATACTAGTTGCCACCCTAGATAAACTGAAATGTAACATGGCCAAACTTAGCCAGTAAGTTACATTGTCCTTCAGACAATTAGCATGTTTTGGCTAGAGATCAAACTCTGGATAATATTTGACACATAGAAGAATAAAGAGCAAATTTATTAAAAGAGCTTTTGTACTTCTCTACTGAAAAATACATCATTTTTTTCCAGGAAGAGCTTGGTGATGAACGAATGGGTTAGCACTTTTAACTTTGTCTTCACTGTAATCTTAGCACTTATTCGTAATCTGTAAAATTCTAACCCATCTATTGAATTCCATGTACTAATGGAGGTTGACAGCTCCAATTAAAGAAGACTTTTTTTAAAAAAGCAAAATATATATGTGTGTAGATACATACATATTTATTTTGACACTGAAAAATGGACCTCAAAATTCCTAGATAATCTTCCTTTCCCTGTTCATTAACTTCACAGTGTTTATAGAATAACTTATGTGCTGGGCTGCTGCTTTTATTTCATCTGAATTTACAATGCAGAAAACATCTCAGTATTGCTTATAGTGTCGTACGTGTGTCTTCAAAGATATGTATTATGATGAACTTTTTATCTTAAGTGCTTTACATTATTTTCCTTTTCACTTCTACCTCATGAGAACTACCACTGTAAACGCATTACAGAAGGTCTGAAATTGCAGAACCACACAGGCAGAGTCTCATGTGAAGTATTCATATCCTCACCATTATATTCCTGTAGCACCTCTTTGTACCCAAATGCATGGCACTTAAAAGTATTTTTCAGCTCCCTAGAAATGATAGAAATGGGGGATCGAAAACATTTTATAATCAACATAGTAAAGATCTCTACTTACCTAAAAAATGTCCACCCTTTCAGGCCAAACCTGCTCACCTATTCGTACTGACCCAGAGTCCTAAATACCAATCCATGGTCAAGACAAAAATCCTGAACTCTCTGCTCTGCTTCACCAGTCATTTTCACATGGTCAAGACAGAAATCCTACCCTCTCTGCTCTGCTTCACCAGTCATTTTCACATCTTCAGACGATTTACATCCAAAA